GAGTTTTGTTGTAAGAGAATGATTCTAATGAGACCAATCTAAATTGAGTCAACAATTTATCATAGCCCCAAACAAAACAAGACAAAACCCCTAAACAACACCAAAAACTTAAAATGCAATCTAACCAAAAAACTAAAATCACAACAAAAAACATTTTTCTTACAGACCCTTGCCAACTAACTAGACAGTTCTATGCCACTGATTTGAAGAGGATCTGGGATATATATATATATATAGAAGGGGGCTAGATAAATCTATAATGCTCTTGAGGGGCAAAGATTCTCAAATAATTTGCAGATGATGGGTCAGTAGCATCATTTTGGAATAAAAACAAGGAGAGGTTTCTGCTTGGGTAACAGGTAAAAAGGATCCAAACAAACTCTGGAGTTTTATTTCTGTACCAGAACTAACAAGCCAAGTGAATTGAGGCCCTAAAACATCTCTAGAGAATCATTAAACTCATCCATAGAATGAAAAGGCATGGATGAACTACTTAAGTTTCTTTAAGTCCTCAATTGTTGCTGCAGGATAATGTGCTGGACCATAGGTTGGTTTGAACCACAAAGTCGGCAGTCCAAACTCACCAGCCATTCTACGGAAACCCTACACAGGTTTGCTATGAGTGAGTACCGACTCACCAGCACTTAACAAGAAGTCCTCAATTTAGTTAGCCCTTCCACTTCAGGTTAATTCCATCTCTCTTCAATCCTTCGCGTGCACTTTGGATTTTAACTTTTATAATTTTCAACTTTATATGTCTTCTAATGAAATCTTTGGTGTTGTGGTAAAGTGCTGCTGAGTCAGTTCCGACTCACAGCATTTGAAATTACATAGGTCCTTGATATCTGACTAAGTCAAGTGAGTCTCAAAAACTTATCTCTACTCATACAACATTTTATTACTTGGAATTAACAATGTTCATAAGAAATTGATTAGTTTTAACACTGGGGAAAACTTCTGTGTCTGTACTAAGCTACTGTGCACCCAAATAACCTCTTTTGTAAGAGGCTTGCTCTCCCTTTCATTTTGTTTTTGCTAAGATTCCTGTGTTCAACCCCATAAAATGCTGGCACACATTCTGTGGTTTGGATACTTACAAGAAATAGTGACAAACCTAGCTAAACGTTACATTTTGATTATTGCACAATAATACAGAAAAACACAAAACATTGAGAAAAGTAAGTTTTACAAAAGTCTTGCATAATTTTCACTTTTTGAAAAAATGTTTTTACTCTCTCACGAAGGAGTATTGTAAGTAGTGTGTTTTTTGAAAGGTTGAGCAACATTATTTGGAAATCACTATTAATCAAGAGATTGGAATTTTTTTCATGTCTCTGTTTCAAAGTGTGAGGTTAAAAGACCCATGACTTTTATCTTCTTTTTTCTAGCTTCACATTCTTTCAGAGTCTCTAGAGGTTATAAAAGTAAGAGGCTTGCCTTCCTCTTAAGTGACAAATAATTCAATATTAACTGCTCTTCATATCTAATTTAAAAAATAATAATCTTGATCAGAATGGAGAAGACTGAAATTAGAATATAACTCATGGGTTTTACCTTATCTAGAAAAAGATCTCTGTCATGCCCTCTTTTGTAAAACTTCAAGATTCTCAACAGAGTACTTATTCAGGCTACTTGGGCAGGTTCAGAGAGAATTCTTTGGGAAATGGACTTTGCTGTAGGTTGACTGAGGCATACTTCCATAACAAGACTGATTGACCCTTTCTCTGCCGGCAGGGAGATGAGGCCTTAAAGGTTTTATTTAAAAAAAAAAAAAGAAAAGAAAAACTATTCTATACATACTCATTTAGTATCCAATATAAACTCCTACTTTTTCCCATCAGAACCTATTAAAATACTATCATGTTCTCACCCTTGAATAGATTATTATACAACTTCTTTGAAAAGTTTAGCTGAGAGATAGAATACTTAATGATCATCAGGAATTACCATGCTTAGGAGGTGCCCTGGTAGCACAGTGATTAAAGTACCCAGTTGGTAACTAAAAGGGTGGCAGTTCAAACACACCAACTGTCATGAGGTGAGAACAATATGACAAAAAAACTGACCGCCTTGGAAACCACATGGGGCAGCTCTGCTCGGTCCCATGGTGTTACTTTAAGTGGGAACTGACTCAACAGCTATGGGTTTGGTGTCTGGGACCATGCATGCATGGGAGGAAGTCTAACGAGTGGTGAAAAGTGTGGGCTCTGGAAACAGACTGTTCAAATCATGGTTCAGGACTGCTAGCTCTATGACCTTCTGCCCAATTCAACTTTTCTAGGCTTTGTCTCATCTGTAAAACTGAAATATTAAATAATATATACTTCATAGGGTTGTTGTAGGGATTAAATGTGAAATAAATGTATAAGTGTTTAGAATAATGGTTTGCTAGTAGTATGCATTCAATGAATATTAGACAATAATTTTAGTCTTGTTGTTAAGTGCCATCAAATTGGTTCCGACTCATAGCAACCTGTATAGGGTTTCAAGGAGCGCTGGTGGGTTTGAACTGCTGACCTTGCTGTCCAGTGCTGATCCTACAGCACCACACCAGGAGTCCTTTTAGTCAGCAGGAACATATTCATAACTAATAACTACGGTATTCTAGGTATAAAAGTTTTCTAAATCCAGTTCATATAAAGATATGTGATCATCAGAATGTTATATACCTGCGTCTTAATAACACAGGTTCAAGTTTAAGTTCACTAGTTTTTCTTTAATGATATACTCTCAGATTTGAGGATTGATATATTAAAAAACAAACATAAAGATAAATGAAAACTCATCTTTCATTTGCTGTGTTTAAGCACTACCAGTATTGTTTCTTTTTAAAAACAACTGTTTTTAAACAGACATTTTCCTCTTTTGAATTTCTGTGTATTTCTATTAGAGAATGAGAATTGTACAAAATAGCATGCTAGCCTTGACAGTCTTTGACCAACAAAACCAGCAGTTTCACGTAGAGCAATCTACTCTCATGCTGTACTTTTTTATTTTGTCTAACAGGAACATTAGAACAAAATTTAAAGCTTTGCCAATTTGGACTCTATTAATACCTCTGATTAGCATACTTGCTTTTTCATTAGCCTTTTGGTCATTTCAACTTTAATAGTCTAAGGGTAAATGTTTTTACAATGTTTCATGCATACACAGTAATAAATCATTCTTTACTACTGATGAAAGTTATTAGAAAGATCAAGTAAGATAATGTACATGAAAAGTATATCATAATTCAAATTCCTATTAAATTTGAATATGATGACTTCCAACATACTGAAAATTTCTGAACATCTTCCTACAACCTTCTTTCTCTTTAGAGTTCTTCAAAAATCAGAATCTCAACATAGAAATTCTTCAAATTCTTTCCATAATGTTAGGGATTAAACCCAGAGCTCTTTAATAATCTGGTCTGTACTTCGAGCTGCAGCTTTGCTTTACCTTCCCTCACTTGCCTCCAAACTGAGATCTTAGAGCTCTCGTAACCTGGTATCCTATCCACCCTCTTTTCACATGCCTCTGGTCATGTGATGCAACTCTAGACCTGGAATGCTCATCCCCACGGCTCTGCCTCAATAAATCCACCTTCTGTTTCAGGATTCAGCTCACACATTCTTAAGAAATAATTCCCTCAGTTAAAAACATTATTTGATTCAGAAGTTTCTCTCACCTGGACTATTCTTGTTAGTGTCCCAGTTGAGTCCCTGTACATAATCTATTACTTCTCTAATCCATCAGACTAATCTAAATGAAGTCACATCATACCACCATGATACTGAGAAATACAGATCTCCCTTGACTCCAAAGTAAGGCCTAAAAACAAGTTGGCATGGAACCCAAGTCTTCATTACCAGGTCCAAGACTCTTTCAAAATGCAAGAAAGAGAAAATATATGATGGAAATGAGGGTAAAACTTTTTGTAAACCTACCATTTTCTTTTAAGGGTACTTGGGATGAAGAATTTCCAGAACTATGCATAGTCATTCCTGTGACATAAATTATATTATTAGACATTTTATAAAATGATCAGATACTAGATACATAAGTAATTTCTTCTGATAATATGAATTCATAAAACATTAAGGCAGTGATAACATTTATTTATACTAGGAAAAAGAATTCTTCCCAGAATGAACATGTAAACTACTTTTATAAGTCCAAGTTAAGCATATTAACTTGTTTTTAAATGCAATAATTTAAATGCATTAATAATTTAAATGCAAATGTATTATTCCTGACAAATATGAAATGATCAGACAAATGGGAACTGCAGGCTCATGTTAAAAGAAAAGTCAAAATTCAGTAAGAATGAATAATCTTAATGAAAAATCAAATGTGGAAAATAAATTCCTTTTATGGATGAGTTTTTATTATGTTTTTGTTTTGATGAACTGACGTGTTCATGTCTGGTATCTGATGGATTCTCATGCAGAATAAAGTCTTCCTAATAAAAATGACTCCAAATCTATAAGGGATTCTATACAGGTGAACATGTTTTAAAAATTATCTTCTAAAGGATTGAATCAGTTGCTTCCTACCTATATGAATACTGTCTTTTTACTTGTTTCATTAAAAAAAAAAAAACTGATTCAACTGAAATTGACAATAGTATAATCTCTGAAAAGCTATGAAAATCTACATTAATAAAGTAATGTTGATTTCCATAAATATACTTATGAACAATAATAGAGTCATCTTTTGTCTTCATTTACTTTACAGACCTCCAATTCAATTTCAGGATGAAAAAGAATTCTTAAATTTGTGTAATTCTGTCAGTTATCTTGATAGTTAGGCCTCAGGAGAGAATTTAGGACTATTATTTAGTAAAACAAAATCAGAAGAGGGTTTCTACCCCCTTGTTACCTATTGAGAGTTGTAGTCCAGACCTATCTGTTTAACTGTCTACTTTGAAATACTGACTTCAGCACATTTCCATTTTCAAGATGCCTAAGGCAATAAAAAACACACATAACTTCTATATTTAATAATTAATGGGCTTCAGCAAGCTGGCAGAACTTGAAGAAACATAAATCAATTAAGAATTTCATCTACCAACCACAGAACATTTCTTAAGAATCGTAAAGCTATTCTATTTATGTTATGCTGAAATAAAATGTTCTGTGAAAAATACCAGCATTATGGGAGTCCACTTGTAGGCTTAAGGACAGTCCAAAGCAAAGTGATTCAAAGCAATGGTACAGAAGTTTGTTTTCTCAGCATGACTGCCATGTATGTCTACTGTGACCATGAAGAATCTAAGTAATTAATCAGTCTGTGCCATGAAGCCATTTTCTATTTGATTTGACATATTTTAATTAGCTTAAAATGTAGGTTTATGAACAACTGTAGCAACAAGGACACTGAACCAAAAATATTGATCTGGTCATTGACATTAACTTGCCCACTTTGCACTATAAGTATAAGGTATGGGAGAAAGAAGTAAACTGGTTTGTGCTGACCTATACCATATACTTGACCAGGGTCTTCAATGGATGAGTCTGATTCATGTTTCCTCCTTTCAGGACTTCTATTTAAACTTGCAACAGACTTTGAACTAAAGAGGGAAAAGGAAGGTAGGAGGGGGAATGTGTCAATGTAAAAAAAAAAAAAAAAAGTGAGAATAATAAAACATCAAAACAAAAACCAATGTATGAAATGTAGAATTAAAAAATATGTAGTTTGGATTAAGAATGTTCTTACTTATTAAGCTTTGTGAATCCTGCCAAAGATTCAGTGTCAGATCTCGCCATCTGGTGAAAGGGCTTTCCCACCAACTCCTCAATGGTTTGTGGTGGGGAATCCATATTGACAATGACATTTTTCCGATGAGGATAGAGAGAGGCCTGACTCAGATCGTGGTATGATTTACTCATCCCTCTAGGCTTTTCCTCCCAGGAAGCTTTGTCACTCTTCTCTTTTGAACCGTTTTGAAATGGCTGGTAAAGCGACAACTCTGAGCAGGATAGCCTCTTCAGAATCTCAGCTTGAACTGACAAAGGTCGAACGGCCAGTTTGTTCAATGTGCTGCTGGCTAGACTGCCAGTGCTGATTGCTCGTCCCATATTAAATCCTCTAACAGACTCTGCTTGGAGATTCAGGCTCCTAAACGAAGCTCTCTCTACAAGGAAATAGGATTGCTTTACACGATGGAAACACGGCAGTACCTTTATGAGAAGAGTAATTTTAAGAAAGGGAACACAGCATGCAGTTTTTAATCACTCTAACTGCCAGTGTAAGTAGGTCGCTTTCCAAGTCTGGCAACCAAAGATTTTCAAAAACAGGTTGAAGATCCTGGGTTTTGTACCATCTCTCCATCCTTTTGGCTTTGGCTTTCTCATAGTCTCACTTCCTGCTTTCTTTAATGATTCTTTTGAATCTAATTATGGCTGGGGATTAAGACTAATGTACCTTAGATTCTCAAGGATGGGATTCAGTTAGAAATGAGAAAGATATTGGTAAGGAAATTTTCAACCCTAGTGCTGTCTCTACTAAAATGTCAGCCAAGCAAGGATGGGGAGAGGCAGAGAAGAAACCTGAATGGGCTAATAAAATAAATGCATGCCTGAAAAAGCTATTCAGAGGAGAGCTTTGCACAGAGAAAAGTTTCTGATTATATTTTTGAAAAGTTTTAAGCATATTATGGTGATGGTTACAAACTCTGAATATTCTCAAAACCATTGAATTATACACGTTAAATGGTTGGATTATATGGTATATGTGAATTAAAACTTGATAAACTGTTACAAAAAAAGTTAAACAAATTACTTCTTTTGTGTTTCACACTACTATGCCAAATCCACCTGCTCCATGGTCTGAGACACAGCAGCTATGGGAAAAACAAAGATTATATATCTTCTTTCTTTCTTTGGTTTAGTTCTGATTAACATGACAATGAGGGTCTCATTATGGTTAAATTCCTTTCGCCCCTAAATACATATGCAATGTTTTCTTTTAGAAATTAAATTTAGAGAAGATTTATAACAAGTAGTTAGCCATCTTCATTTGTGAGGACCAATGTATAGCACTATTGGAACACTGAGGACAGTAATAGGAAGGAGTTCTGGTGTGGCACAGTAGGACAGCTAACCACAAGGCTGGCGGTTCAAACCTACCAGCTGCTCCTGTGAAACCCTATATAGGCTCGCTATGAGTGTTTTTAAAAGGTTTATGTGTTTGACTGTGTTATGGATATTGGTTTATCCTGCCTACTATAATAAGGAGCTCTGGTAGCATGGTGGTTACGAATCGGGCTGCGAACCTTACGGTCAGCGGTTCGAAACTACCAGCCGCTCCGCAGGAGAAAGATGAGGCTTTCTACTTCCGTAAAGATTTACACCCTCGGAAACCCTGTACAGGGTCGCTATGGGTCGGAACCGACTCGACGGCACTTAACAAACAACAAAAACAATGAGTTAGAACCGACTCTACAGCACTCAACAGCAACAGTCACTGATAGTCTGTGCCATAAAGCCATTTTAATTTGATTTGACATATTTTAATTATCCTAAAATGTGTATTTATGAAAAATTTTGGCAATGAGGACCCGGAACCAGAAATAATTATTTCGTCAAAATAGACCATTATGATCTTTTCATTAAATAAAGGACCAGGAGCACAGAGTTTGAAATTATTTAGTTGTTCATGCTTGAGTGATCCACATTCCAAGGTAACCCATTTGGTCCCCAGAGAAGTAGTAATTCTATGCTGCTCTCTATAAGGTATGCAGATTAACCACTATGAAAAATATCTAGGAAGACGGCTTTTTAAAAGGAAGATAGCTTTGGATTCTATTTCATCTAGCCACTAATTCTTAGGAGCACTGTAAGTTGCTATTTCATCTAGGGCATAAACAAGTAAGAAGACACTGAAGATTTTTAATTTTCACACATCACCAGTGTCAACTCATCATCACATCTTACTGTCATTAGAAAAATGTAACCAACAGTATTCTTTCTCTGAAGTGCAAATGGACACCAAGTAAAAAAATAAAGTATGACACACCTTGGTTTAAAAATCCTAAGATCAACTTTAATTTAAAACATGGAGTTTTTATTAGAGCAGATAACATTATTCTATGTGTTGCTATTATCAGTGTTTTGTTTTTCTTTCACTTCAATAGTAGCCATAATCAAAGATGTAAAACTGAGTCTTACACAGATTCAGTTACCAGCAAATTCCTTTACTCCCAATAGACTTCTTCACCCTTAAGGAAAATGTAGACCAAACTTCAGCAGGAATAATTGACAGTTTAGTTTAGGCTACCTCTGTCTTGTGAATACATCAGGGATTATGGTGATCAAATCCATTTATAATCTACTCCTGGGTTGTTGTTATTAAGTGCCTTGAGTTAGTTCTGATTCACAGCAACACTATAGAGGGTTTCCGACCTTGTGGTAAGCAGTTCAGCGATTAACTTGCTGCACTATACCGGAACTCTTAAGTAAGACTTAATACATTGTATACCTTCATGGGATGGGATCATGAACTGTCTAACCTTTCTGTCAGAACAGAGTCCAACATGGACAGTCAGTATGGGAAAGGACCTCAAAATGAGCCTATATCCTAAAAGCAATGTTTCAAATTTCAACGCAATGGCTGGCTAGTTCCACACTACATTGGCAATCCAAACTATTCTGTTTCTGCTATTGTTCATTCCGTTGTATCATTCTTTATTTTCTTGGGCCTTCAATCTATTACAGTCTTTTGAGGAGACGTACTTCATTTGGTTTTGTTGTCTCGCAGCATCTAACATAATGTCTTCTGAATAGTAAGTGTTCAGTGTTAACCTTAACAAAGCTAACTCCATGCAATCTACTTCTTCTGAAACTCATCTAATAGAAAGAGTACTGAATTAGGAATTAAGAGATTAAGGTGTCAGCTTCATTTGACCTCTTCTTAGGTTTCCTCATCAGTAAAATTTTGGATTTAATGGCTGTTGAGGGCCACCTAGGTAGGAGTCCTGGTGTGGCATTGTAGGATAAGCACTGGACTGCTAGCCATAAGGTTGGCAGTTCGAACACACCACTTGCTCCTCAGAAACCATATACAGGGTCACACTATGAATGAGAACTGACTCGACAGCAGTGAACAAGCGTCATCTCATACCAGTTTTCTATGCCTCTAAAATAGTATTACATTTTCTTCACCCTATCAGTCTTTTACAGAGGACATCAGAAATTTTCATTTGTACAGTAAATAGTTAGAGTCCTTTAGAAACTGACCTTGTGGCTAGCAAGCTAAGTGCTCCACTACTAACCAAACGCTTGGCAGTTCAAACCCAGCCAGAGGGTCCTCAGACAAAGAAGGGCTGGCAATCTGCTTCTGGACGGTCATAGCCTTGAAAACCCTATAGATTACAGTTCTACTCTATAACACATAGGGTCTCCATGAGGCTGAATGTATTTGACAGCAAATTGTTTAGCATGCAGTATATAGTTAGGTAGGCAGGTGGTAGTGGTGGTGGTGGTGTGCCGTGGAGTCGGTTCTGACTCATAGCGACCCTGTACAGGGTTTCTGAGGCTGTAAATCTTTACGGGAGCAGAAAGCCTCAACTTTCTCCCATGGAACAGCTGGTCGTTTCCAACTACTGACCCTCAGGTTAGCAGCCTGATTCGTAACCACTACGCTACCAGAGCTCCTTAAGTAGGTAAGTAGTTACTTCTAATCTGATTTTAAGGGAAAAATAGTTTCTTTAATGGTTTTTTGTTTTGCTTTTTCTTTTAAACTGACTTAAATTTAAAATTCACATATGAATTCAGGGATACATAGCTGTTGTGATCTTAGGGACACACCTGTGATAGTAGAAATGGAAACCCTGAAAAGTCAGTTACTTTCCCACATTCATTCAGTAGTAATGGTGGTGGTAAGACGTGTAGTAAAATAATATTGGTGATAGTGATGAATATTTTTTGACTATTACTCTTCACCAGGCACTTTTCTAAGTGGTTTGTATGTACAAATTCATAAAAACAGTATGATGCAGATGTAATAATGATGACAATAATTTTGTAGATGAGGAAACCAAGGCAGAGAGTTTAAGTAACTTGTTCAAGGTTTCTTTTGTAATGGAGCCAGGTTTTGAATGGTGGTGATCTGGTGATCTTCAGATCTCATGTTCTAACTATTATATATTATATTGTTCTTCTGTATAAGAAATATTGAGGATGGAAAGGTGGCTTCATTTTCACAGGTGTCTTGTCTTTTCACTATGCTACATCTATAATAATATAACTTTCAATTGTGCGATTATGGTTCTGTATTAAATAGAATATTAATTTAAGTCGGAATGCTAACTTCTCTAATAAGCATAGTGTTTCGCTACACTTTGAAAATAATAAGAGCACACACATTTTTAGCAGAGCAAAGCAGGGACAGAAAAGAAACGAAAAGAGATTACTTTATAGCAATAGTTACATTTTATCATGCACAATCCTTACTTAAGAAAGCTTGTTAAATGCAGATTCCATATACCCAGTTCCCAAAGATTGTGATTCATCGAGTTTAAGGTGGGCTCCTGGGATCTTCATTTTTAATTAGCACAGAGACCCACCCCCGTGTTGTTTCTGAAAGGTTTGAAAATCATCTACTGATATGATGGTCATCGTGTCCTGTCTGATCCTACTAGGAAAACACTTTTTGTAAGATTAAGAATGGGAAAAAGTTCAGATATGGAATTCAATAGGATTCTATTGTACAAAGTAATTACTGCTAGTCCACTTTTTTTTTTTTTTTTTTAAGTCAAACTCTTTAGAATGTTTCACTTAAATGTGTAAGAACTTAACCATGCAGAACCAGATTCTGTATAAGTTTAATCTCTATATATGATCATTACACAGTAAGTTTTGAATATTTTTGTTCTGAGATTTTTTTTTTCGCCCTACTGTTGCATTCTTTTCTATTGTGGATCTCTTTTCAAAAGACATTGAGACCACTATCTCAAGCAAGAGTAGGCATGAACCAAACTAAAACTATCAGGTACCATCCCCAAAATTACTGTGTTAGGTACAAGGGACCTACAAAAAAAATCATGGAAAAAATCCATCATCTTTTCACTCCATTTTCCGATGAGATTTTTGAAGCCCCTTGTGTTTTCACTACTCTGGGTACACATTCTCTGCATCCCACTTTCAGCCCTGGCATGATCTCCATGTTCTCTCCCTCATCTAGAAAGCCCTCCATTAATTTTCAACCTTCTTAAACGATTTTTGTTCTTCAAATTCCAATTCAAATGTCACTTTTCAATTATTCTACCCTTTCATCTATTTCATCTGCTGTGGTCCAGTGCACAGAATCTGTTAGCTATAATATCCTGTTATTAAAATCTTGAATTACTATCATGTATTATTTACATGAAGGCTGGTCTTATCTTCCTAAATAAGAGTGTAAATTTACTGAGGGTACAGAACATGGCTTATCCATTTACAATATTTACATCAGCTAGACTGTATCTAAGCACAAAATAGACTTTTCAACTGTTAGTCTTTGACAGTGATCTTCTGTGTGTTGTTTTCAAAATGAACATGAAGTAGAAATCTCTGCATCATTTGTGACACACTTTTATACGCTGGACTGAAAAATTATGCATTTACATTCCTTATAATTTCTTATCCTAAAAATTGGAGCTTTAAAAAGATGTGTGGGAAAAATCATGCAGACACCCTAGAGTCCGGAGCATCTCCTTACCAATATCTTGGGCATCTTGGTGGTTCTGTCTTGCTCTCATCTGCAGCTGGAACTTATGCTGGGAGGAGCAGAGGTGCAGCAGATATTGGCAAACCTTACTGTTGTCTGTCTGGAAGGCGTGTTTTATTCCATCTGATGTATTTTGTAATGTGATTTTCTTTTTCTACAATATTAATCAGGGGTGTTAAAAATTAGGAAACTTCTCAATGACCTTTTTACATGACCAAATTCTTTAAACTACAATTAATATATAGAGACATTATTTACATTTCACATTACTAGGCATGGATGCCTTGGTCTACATCTAATATAAAAATATAACCCTATGCTATACAGAACAGAAAAAACAAAAATCAGTATTACTTGCTATATGAAGAAAGTGTAGCTCAACTCAAGACTATATACCAGCCACTAGCATGGGAAATGGGTTTCCTTAAACAACATAAGTGGTCTTTTGAGTTTGCAGCAATGTTTTAGAAACATCACAAATGTTTGAAAAAGAAATGACAAGAAGCACTTGTCCTACTCTTCGAGTAAAAAATAAAAACACAAACAAAAAACCTGAAGTTCATATTCTTATGTATAATGACAGGAGCTATGCTTCAGTCAAATAGAATTTGGGTGGCATGAAGGCTGGGACACTTGAAGAGAGAGTCAAGTCACTGAATGACACAACCCCGCTGGTTGAGATATGAAACACATCAGTATTTAGAGACAGTGATTCCTGCTAAAATCAGGGAAAGGCAAACCACAAATCAATTTTATCCCTATGATGCTTCCTGAAAAAGGGATGGCTCAGGTGTAAGAATCCATCAAAAAAAGAATCACTACCTATGTAGTGAGGCAAGCACGTGATCTACATGCCCTGAAAGACTAGCACTCAATATGTCAAGTACCTATGACCAATGTGACTGGAAAATTGCATATGCTCAGTTTGATTCCACCCTAGTATGTGGCTAATTCTCCCATGCTAAATTTTCTGTCTACTTTATGACCCTTGCCTTTACTTCAAATGAATGGCATAGAGAAAGCCAAATTTAGCAGGGTCACGAAAGATAATAGAGCATCACCCAAACTTCAATCGTCTGAATGTCAACTTCATAATTTTTGTTTATGCTTTTTAAAATAGATTTTTCTTACACAAATACACTCAAGGCCTCTTATATCATGACCATAAATAGAAAAACAGTACTATTTGCCATATGTAAAAATCAAATATAAAAATAAACAGCACAACAAAATATTAATGAGTTCTAGCTAGCTACTGTTGTCAGTGAAAACTCTGGGACTAAACTGTTGTTAAAACGAGAAATCAGCAAGTGTTAGAGAGAAGTTAAAGATATGTTCCAAACCAGTATAGTTTAATTGAGGGTTTTTGTTTTTTTTTTCCTTAACAAATCTACACCTCAACCATAAGCAAGGACATTGAGCTCCACAGTTGTATTGCTTGAGGTATTACTAAGAAAGGCAGATTCTCTTTAGTATATCTGATAAAAGAACTATACAACTGGTATCTCCAAGAAAACAACAAAAAGCAGCAAAGAAGAGCTGCTCACACACACACACAAACACACACAAAAAACCACAAAAGATATGTTAGGTATCTTCAATAATTATGGAAAGTGATACCATAATTTAAGATCTAAGAAACATGAATAGGCTAGCACCAAATGTAATACTTGGTTCTCTTTCAGTTAATTTTTAACTGGTGGATTGAACAAGGTATGTGCCCAAGGTAAATCACGTGCAAGATATAAGAAGGAAAAAGAATGGCTTTTCCAACTCCCCAGGAGCTAGAAAAGCAAAAACGGAGGGTTAAAAAAAAAAAAAAAAAGACATCTATATTAAAGTGAGAATTCCAATATAAACAAATGCTACCAAACACAAAAGTTTGTAATGAATTGTGATCTATTTTCTATTAAATGAGCTCTTTAAAACTGAACTAGAATACTGTTGTTGGTATTGCCTTCAAGTTAGTTCTGACTCATAGTGACCTTATGCACAACAGAATGAAACACTGCCTGGTCCTGTGCCATCCTCACAATCAATGCTAAGCTTGAGCCCACTGCAGCTGTCACTGTGCTAGTCCATCTCACTGGAGGTCTCTTTTTGTAGCGTAGTGGTTACGAATCAGGCTGCGAACCGCAAGGTCAGCAGTTCGAAACTACCAGCTGCCCCGCGGTAGAAAGATGAGGCTTTCTGCTCCTGTATAGATTTACAGCCTCGGAAACCCTGTACAGGGTTGCTAGAGGTCGGAACCGACTCGACGACACTTAACAACAACAACCAAACTTTACCAAACATGATATCCTTCTCCAGGGATTGGTTCCTCCATCTGAAGTATGAGAGACTAAGTCTTGCCATCCTGACTTTTAAGGAGCATTTTAACTGTACTTTTTCCAACACAGATTTGTTTGTTCTCCCAGAAGTCCATGGTACATTTAATATTTGTCTCCAGAACCATAACTCAAATTCTTCTAAGGTCTTCCTTATTCACTGTCCAACTTTCACATACATATGAAACTACTGAAAATATCTTGGCTTGGTTCTTCTAGTTGGCATCTTTGCTCTTGAACACTTTTTAAATAGGTCTTATACAGCAGATTTGTCCAATGTAATACATCGTTTGATATCTTGAGGGCTGCTTCTAGGAGTTTGATGGTTGATTTGAGCAAAATGCAGTCTTTGACAAATTTAACCTTTGCTCCATTTATCATGACATTATTTACTGCCCATTAGTAAGGACTTTTGCTTTCTTTTTACATTGAGGTGCAACCCATACTGAAAGCTGCCGTCTTTGATCTTCATCAGAAAGTCTTTTTACACCTCTTGCTTTTAACAAACAGGGTTGTATCATTTGCATATTGTAGGTTGTTAACAAGTTGAGTTTTCCTTCAATCCTGATGCCACTCAGATTATCTGCTCAGCATACAGACTGAGTAAATATGGTGTAAGAATACAGCCCTGTCACAAGCTTTTCCTAATTTTAAACCATTCAGTGTCACCTCACCTTGTTCTATCTGAACAACTGCCTCTTGGTCTAGGTACAGGTTCCTAATAAGTTTAATTAAGTGTTATGGAATACTCATTCTTTGCAATGTTGTCCATGTCTTGTCATGAACCACATAGTCAAAGCCTTTGCATAGTCAAAAAAGCACAGACAAACATTTTTCTGGTATTCTCTGCTTTCAGCCACAGTCCATCTGATGCCAGCAATGATATTTCCTTGTTCCATGCCCTCATCTGAATCCAGCTTGAACCTCTGGCAGTTCTGTGTCAATATACTATTGCAGCTGTTTTCAAATTATCTTCAGTAAAATTTTACTTGCATATGATATTAATTATATTGTCTGATGATTTCCACATTCTGATGGGTCACCTCTCTTTGGAATGGGCACAAATATGGATTGCTTCCAGTCAGTTGGCAAGGTAGCTGTCCTCCAAATTTCTTGGCATAGATGAGTGAGTACCTCCAGTATTTCATCAGTTTGTTGAAAGATTTCAATTTGTATTCCATCAACTCTAGGAGCCTTGCTCTTTGCCAATGGCTTCAGTGCCCCTTGGACTTCGCTTGATATGGTAAAACATTGCCCATTTCTTTTTTGGTAGAGTGACTCTGTATTCCTTTCATCCTCTTTTGATGCTTTCTGCATCCTTTAATATTTTGTCCATGTTGTTGTTGTTAGGCGCCATTGAGTCTATTTTGACTCATAGCGTCCTTACGCACACGGGAATGAAACATTGCCCGGTGCTGCACCACCCTCACAATCATCGTTAAGCTTGAGCCCATTGATGCTGTCACTGTGGCAATTTATCTCGTCAGGGGTCTTCCAGTTTTTCACTGACCTTTCACTTTACACAGCATGATATCTTTCTCTAGAGACTGGTCCCTCCTGACAATACGTCCAAAGTATGAGAGACGAAGTCTGTTCATCCTCACTTCCAAGTAACATTCTGGTTGTACTTCTTCCAACACAGATTTGTTTGTTTTTCCAGCAGTTCATGATATTTTTAATATTCTTCTCCAACACCATAGCTCAAATGCATCAATTCTTCTACAGTTTTCCTTATTCACTGTCCAACTTTCACATACATCTGAAGCTATTGAAACTACCATGGCTTAAGTCAGGTGCACCTTAGACCTCTAGTTTGCTCTTAAACATTTTAAATAGGTCTTGTGCAGCAGATTTGCCTATTGCAGTATGTCGCTGGGCGTCTTGACTGCTGCTTCCATGAGTGTTGATGATGGATCTAAGAAAAATTAAGTTTTGCCTGTAGAATCCTTCAGTATTGCAAATCAAGGCTTAACTTTTTATTCAATTCTTTCAGCTTGAGAAATGCTGAGTGTGTTCTTCCCTTTTCATTTTCTAGTGCAAGGTCTTTGCACATTTCATTAAAATACTTGACTTTGTCGTCTTGCGCTTCCAGTTGAATATTTTTCTTTACTTCATTTACTTCCACATTTCTTCTATTTGCTTTAGCATCTCTGTGGTGGAAAGTACGACTGTCTTCTGATATCCATTTTGGTCTCTTCCTTCTTTCTTGTCTTCATGATCTTTTGCTTTCTTCATGTATGATGTTCTTGATACCCTATAACTCTTCTGTTCTTTGGTTATTACTATTTAATACATGAAATCTGTTCTTGAGATCATCTCTAAATTCAGGTAGATATGTGTAAGGGTAAACTTGGCTCTTGTGGACTTGTTTTCATTTTCTTCAGCTTCAGTCTGAACTTGCATATGAGCAATTGATGATCGGTTCCACAGTCTATTGTTGGCTTTTTTGGGCTGATAATATGGAGCTTTTCTACCATCTCTTTCCATAGATGTAGTCAATTTGATTTCTAGGCCTGACATCTGACTATATACATCTGAGGTCCATGTGTATAGTCATCTTTTATATTGTTCTAAAAAGTTGTTTGAAATGAAGAAGTCATTGATCTTGGAGAATTCTATTATGTAATCTCCAGCATCATTCCATACCCAAGGACATTTTTTTCCAACTACTGATCCTTTCTTTGTTTCCAACCTTTGCATTCCAATTATTAGTATTTATCAATACATCTTATTTGTATGTTTTATCAGTTTCAGACTGAAGAAATTGATAGAATTCTTCAATTGCATCATCACTGGCTTTAGTGGTTGGTGAGTAAATTTGAATAATAGTTGTACTAACTGGCCTTCCTTGTAGGCGTATGGATGTTATACTATAACAGACAGCTTTATACTTCAAGATAAATTGTGAAATGCTCTTTTTGATAATAAATGTGATGGCCTTCCTCTTCAATTTGTTATTTATTGCATAGTAAACCATATCATTTTCAGATTCAGTATGGCCAATACCAGTCCATTTCAGCTCACCAATACGTGGGATACCAATCTTTATGCATTCCATCTTAGTTGTTTTACAACTTTCAACTTTCCTAGATTCATATTTCATATATTCCAAGTTCTGATTATTACAGGATGTTTACAGCTGTTTTGCCTCAGTTTGAATTGTGTCCCATCAGCAAACGAAGGTCCCGAAAGCTTTATTCCAATCATGTCACTATATTCAACTAGACTTTGAGGAGGCAGCTCTTCCCCAGTTGTATTTTGATGCCTTCCAACCTGAAGGGTTCGTCTTTCAGCAATATATATGAAAATATTTTGGTGTTATTCACCATGTTTCAATATTCAGTATTCTAGCATTATCTGACAGTATTCCAAAGTTATTTATAAGGTTTTCAGGGGTTAAACATTCAGAAGCAGTCTACCTCTCCTTTTCTTATTCTTACTCTGTAAGTTGAGCTGAAACCTGTCTACCATGGGTGTAGCCTTTTGATATTTTAAATTCTGGTGGCAAGCTTGTAGCATAACAGCAACACATAAGCCACCACAGTACGACATATTGATAGATCAATGATGGGGACTAATATAGAGTTAGTGTTATGTTTAGTAGCTTAGCAAATGAAACAGAGCTCTATGTAGTATAATGATACGATTTGTTGCTTTATCTAAACCAGGTTATATTGTATTAATCTAAGCTTTCCTCCAAGACACTTGCTCTACCAGCATTTGCACAGCGAAAGTAAATTAATTCTAGTTAATTTTCTGGTCTTGATACATGTAGAAAGCTCAAGGTGGTCTTAAACCTGAGAGAGCAAACACAATGTTATCAAGTAATCTGAGTGCTATCTCTCGGCTTCCTAGGAAATCAAACAGCCTAACTGATCTCAAAGGTTATCTACTTTGATGAATTTCTCAGCTCAGTCAAAACCTTGGTATCCTACAACACTGTTCTGCTAAGACTGTATTTCAGCCCAAATAGGATCTAAAATGTGCATGGTCTCTGGTTAACCTTCGGAGCTACACACCTGAATACACTTTTGAACTTTTGTTCCTCCTCCTGGTTAGTCCAGGGGCATTTCCATGTTCAGATATTCCAATTATGTTCAAAATAAATACATGCTCTTAGAGTTTACTATTTTCTAAAAATCATTTTTCTAATTTTACCTCCATAGAGAATATACACCGAAAAGAAAAAAACAACAAAAAACTGTAGGAAGTCCAAGGACTAGTCATGAAATTTATGAAATCTCTGGGTCATGAAAATTCAAATATTGCTGCTGAGAGTAATATGATGAGCAATACAAAGTTTCCAGGGGTTAAATATATTAAGAGGGTTTCCCCATGTGAGAAGTTGCTATCTTGGAACAATTTCTTATTTAACAGAGAAGTCATATTAGTTGCAATTTAACTAAAGTTAATTGAGCATATAACCAGCTAGGAATGTATAATACTTTTTCTAAAATCACTTCCTGAGAAAACTAGAAACGAACATAATCTAAATAGTATTTCTTCAATTAAAAAGGAACAGTTACATAGTATTAAGACATACTTGACCTACTGAATGGCAGGGTCTAAAGTTTATGTAAGAAAAGTCAATATGCTACATTGAAAACTGACAATACTTGTTTTAAAGCATAGTGACAATTTAAAAAATGAGTTTAAACAGACATACAGAAAAAGAAATCTTCTTGGTTTCCCTCCAAGGAAAGCGAAGGACCAACGTGCGAACTCCATTGTGAACCTCAAACACAAGGACACCTTTAGAACAGACACCAAGCAATATTCCTGTTTGCGATTTTTTCTCTGGGTGCACCCGGTGAAAATGAACTCCATATTCTGTCAGTCTTTGGCAAACCTGTTGGAACAACCATCCCATAGAATTGAACTTTGGTAAACGGTGATACAAAGAAATTCTACCAAGGTAATTGAATGTGGAAATGACAGTCTTTCAACAAATCACTCTAGAACAATTCGATATACACATGTCAAAGAATGGAATCTTGGCTCATACTTGATTTACCAAAAATACCTCAAAATGGATCATAAACCCAAATATGAAATATAAAATTTCATGGAAAAATTCCATTACCTTTCCATTTTTCCCTTAGCTTTCTGGAGCCATCTTGTGTAAGACTTCATACTATAAATCTTCATAAAGAGAATCTTTGGTCTAGCCAAAGATTCCTTTGATAAAATATAGAAAATACAAACCATAGAAGAAGAAAAAACTGGTTAACTAAAAATTTATTAATATCAAGACGTTTGCTTTTCAAAAGACATTGTTAAGAAAATGTAAAGGCAAGTCATAAAACACTAGAGATAAATAAATACGAGGGGGCTTCAAAAAGTTCTTGGAAAATTTCTATTTTCTTTAAATTCTTACTTCTCCATGAATGTTTTGAAGCTCCCTACTGTGTGTATGTGTGTGTGTCTGTGTGTGTGTGGTATGTATATCTCAATGATACGGAGATAAAGATTTTGTTGTTGTTATCCAGTGCTTTAACATTCAGCGCCATAGACATTTCAAACAAACAAGAAGATAGATGAACTGTAAAAGCAATATATATGAAGATGTGTGAGTATATATATATATATATGTATATATACAGCAATTTGTTGGTTGTATGCCATCGAGTTGATTCTGACTCAGAGTACCCTGCTTAGGGTTTCTAAAGTTGTAAATCTTCACTGGTGAAGAAAGCCTCATCTTTCTCCTGGGGAGCAGCTGGTAGATTCCAACTACTGACCTTGTGGTTAGCAGCCCAACTTGTAACCCACTATGCTACCAGGCCTCCTTAAATAGTAATTTTTTGTTGTTGTTAAGTGCCGTCGAGGTGGTTCTGACACATAGCGACCCTGTATAGGGTTTCTGCAGAGTGACTGGTGAGCTTGAACCGCAGACTTTGCAGTTCAAAAGGCTTTGCAGTCTGGTGCATTAACCCACAGCACCACACCAGGACTCCATAAATAGTAATGGGAATACAAATTAAAACCACAATGATATATATAACGTTGCTCACCTATTTGAGGGACTAAAACTTTAAAAAGGAAAATATCAAGTATTCATGAGAATTCAGAGCAAGTAGAACTCTGATTCATTACTGGTAAAACTGAAAAGTTGTACAACCACTCCGGTAATTTCTTACACATTTCTTAAACAAGTTAAACATGGCTACCCTAGGACCTAACAGTCCTAGTCCTAGGTATTTATTCATGGAAAATAAAAACAGGCTCATCCCAAAGTATGTATGTGAATGCTTATAGTAGTTTATATTCATCAACTAGTGAAAGAATACACATTGCATGTCTCTACAATGAAAAATGTTTTTAAAACAGGAACAAACTAGTTAGACCTATCACACTTAGTTAAATGTCAAACTTATTATTCCAAGTGGAAGAAGGCATTCTCCAAATACTGCATACTATAGAATTATATGAAGTTTTAGAAAAGTAAAAAACATGGTGAGAGAAAGCAGATAAGTTGCCAGGATGAGGAGCTGGGAATGACTTCAAGTAGAAAATAGGAAACCTTTTTGGGAGAATGGAAATGTGTTCTAACAGGGATTGGCAAGCTTTGCCTGGAAAGGATTAGACAGTGAATATTTTAGGCTTTGTGATCTTTGCTGAAACAACTCCACTCAGCTGCAACAGTGTGAAAACAGGCATCTACCATAAGGAAACAAATGAGAATGCCCAGATTCCAATGGAATTTTTATTTACAAAATTGGTGGGCCATCGTTTGCTGATCCCTCAATTCATCATCAGTGTGAAGGTGGTTGCTCAACTGTCTACATTTGTCAAACCTCACAAAATTGAATACTTGCTTTATATAAATTAAATCTCAAAAAACAAAGCTGACACAAGAATGATATAAAACTGTTTTAAAGACAACACAAATGTATACCAGAAGTCTAACTTTTAAAGTGTGTATTAAAAATACATCCTTGTTACATAAGAAGATGTTAAAGTTAAAGGAAAATCATGGTCAATAAAGCACATGAAAAGATGTTCAATATCATTTGATGTTAAATTCCGTTGAGTCAGTTCTGACTCATAACGACACTACACTATTTAGGGTTTCTGAGAAGCAGCTGGTGGGTTTGAACTGTCAACCTTGTTGTTAGCAGTCCAATTCTCAGAGCACCACAACATCATTTAGCCATTATTCTTCTTGTTGTTAAGTGTCATCTGTCAGTTCTGACTCACAGTGATCCTTTTTAGGGTTTCCGTTTACAAGGGGTGGCGATTGTGTTTGAACTGCTGACTTTGCAGTTCAAATCGACTTTGCTTATCCTATTGCACCACACTCAAAACCACAATATCACTTCACCCCCTTTGAAACGGAAATGATCAAAAAAATGAAAAAAAACAAAACCAACAGGTGTTAGTAAGATTGTGGAAAACTTCTCTCCCTTCAGCAGAACATAATCTTCTATTTGCATATGCACACTGGAAGTACCCATAGTATTGTTCTATTTATTGATTATAAGTGTCCTACCACTTATATGAGGTTGCACAGGAAGTGAGGGATAGAAATGGATACATCAGTCAGTGTTTTGGTCCCTATCTCTATGTGTGTGGCACTGTAAGATAAGCACTGGATTGCTAACCACAGGTTGGGGGTTCAAATCTGTCAGTCACTCCTTGGAAACCTCATACAGAGTTGCTATGAGTCAGAACCAACTAGAGTCACTTCACAACAACATCCCTATGGGGAAAGCTGGCATTTGGTGGGAAGATGACTTTTGAAGGCACTGTTTATTAAGAGGAATGATTGTGTGTACCTTGGAATTTTTAAAATTTACAGTGGTAAAGCTAGATGCATCTCTTTGGTATGTATTCTCCAACACTTCTTGATTACTTTGGGTTAAACGAAATAAAACACAAGACCAATCATTTGCAATCTTGCATGTTTACCTTTAAAAATTCGACCTCTGTCTCTTTTTCAGAAGCTCCCACATAGGTATTATGCAGTTTCGGTAACTCTTGTTTAATATAGGATAGCTCCAGTTTCTCCATCACCCTGGCAGGCAAGTAATGCTCCAGTCTAAAATAAGACACACCATAAACCTAGAAAAGAGAATATTTTTGTAAGCACTCCTGTTTGTGTCCTATGAACCCTCTTCATCCTTTCTTTTCAGTTCTTATTTCTGAAAGAGGTAAGATACTTCTCCTCCTTCTTTTTGAGGAGTCAGTTTTAGAGGGAAAACATCAGTCTTTCTCTTGTACTCAGTGAGGGAGAATGACTAAATTTTGGAGAGCCTGACATTTCACTAGAATCTCAAAACAAAAACATTGAATTAGTTGTTGTCAAGTAGATCCCAACTCATGGCAACCCCATGAGGTTTAGAGTAGAATGGTGCTCTGCAGAGATTTCAGTGCCTGTGTTCCTTTGGAAGCAGACTGTCAGTCCTATCTTCCAAGGTGTCCCCTGCTATGCTCAAATCTCTAACCTTTCAGTGAGTAGTACACACTTAACTGTTTGCATTACCCAAGGAATGTCTGTTTCACTATATTAAGGGCTAATGTCACAAAGGCTATAGCTCATGAGTGGCATGGCCCCTTGCCCTTGCTTCTTCCTCTTAAATCTATTTGTCTTCAGAAACATTGGGCTTTGCACATATGTTCTCCACAGTGACCTTTGCTAAGTTCTTGGTCCATTGCTGCACAGATAAGAATAGATGGAAGATCCCTTTTATCCACATTTGACTAGCTTAATGTCTAGTCTCTATTAGAACTTGGAAGAAAGAGGGGTAAGTGCTAGGTATTCCTAAACTTCCAAATGGAAGAATGTTAAATAGGAAAAAACAAAAACAAAAAAACCCTCATGCTGTCTGACTGTATATAAACAACGTACATGGGGAACCGTCATTTCAAACCAGCAAACTACTCTCAAATAGCTCCAGATTGTGCTATGGATAAGAACAACAATACAAAAGAGGTCTAGAACAAGAAGTGACTGGTTTACAAACTTGCAAGAGGGAGCCTAGATCCAGAGGGCATGGAGGAAGGTAGAATCTCCACTGAGTAGTGTCCAATCTGTCTGGCGGGGCTGATGAAAGGAAATATGGATAGGTCTCTTATGATACAATAATGAATAATTGTTATTAGGACTGATGGTGAGGGTTTGAAATGTAAAGGTAGACATTTTGTAGCAAAGGGAGGGGAGTGATTGACTTTGCAGTCCAGGAGCAGAGGTCCCTGGGACCATCAAGGGAGAAGAACAGAGATCGGGACCCTATCCAGAGAGACATTGATGCCGGAGATGGAGGCAGAGACAATGATTGGGAGTAATGGAGCGGCTGGGGACTCTGTACTCAGGGTCTGTGTGCTGATGACTGGGGGGTAGGCTTGCAGGGTGTGCCCTCTGGTTGGTTGATGATGAATGGAGGGGATTGTAACCATGGCAATGAAACAATATACGATAGGATGAATGTAAAGCTAATGTTCTCCCTTGTAAACTGTCACATAATTCACAATAAAACATTTTTAAAAAGTGGTCCTGAAGCTCAGTTGATGGAGAGGACAATAAAAAGGAAGGGGAGTCCCCGTTGAATAGTTGTCATTTTGTCTAGATGGGTCTGGTTAAAAGATATGGATGGGGATAAGATTCTTATGATGTCAACAGTGATTGACTGTTATCATGACTAATTGTAAAGGTAGAAGTTCTGTAACAAAAACGGGGGAGTAGTTAATTTTACAGTCCAGAAAAAGAGGACCCTCGGACCATTAAGGGAGAAGAGCACAAGCGGAATGCTAGACCTTATCCAGAGAAGCAGCGACATCATAGATGGAGGCAGAGATGGGGACAAGTAGAGAGGGAGCAGATGAAGACTCCAGATTCATGGAAAGAATCTGGCAGCCAGGAGGCAGACTTGTAGAATGTGCCCTTTAGTGCTTTAAATTATTATATATGCCTGAGTGTTCAAAAAAAGAGCTAAAATGATAGAGAGAAATACTGTTAACTGATGGTACATGGAGGGGATTATAACCATTGTAATGAAACAAAGTATATGATTTGTTGACTATAAAATTGATGATCTGCCCTGTAAACTTTCACTCAATTCACAATAAAAGCTTGAAAAACACAAACAGCATTTTAAAACTAAAAAAAAAAAAAAGGAAGGGGAAGGCAATGCACAATTAGGGGAAGGGGGTAAAAGAGCGGGGATGACAGAGGGAGACTCAGGGAGGTATGCATGGGCTAAATGGGATAGAGATAGAGTGTAATGTATGCACAGCCTTGGAACAACAGGGCTTTGTGATATAGGGATCAAGAAATGGTCAGAATGGGTAAAGGAGAGGAAATAATATAATATTAAGGCGCTTGGCTGTTTTGTGGCTATTGGTTTTCCCTGCCTACTATTATAATACAGACATTTAAGTGGGATAGAAAACAATATTGGGAAATTTTATTACAGAAAGCTTTTTATAAATCTATCTTCAGCCTATAATGGATTGGATTATCTAAAAATAGATTGGATTATTTAAAAGCCCAGGGAAATAGGCTTCTTGTTAAGCCTTTTTGGAGGCCCATCCAGAACCTTCGGCGGAAAACAGTCCCAATTGAAAAGACACGCAGACCAACCCGGAATGGGTAGAGGAACAGAACATACTTCTTGAAAGAAAGACCAGTGCGGGTAGGAAGGGCGCAGTTCACTGTGCTTTGACAAACATCTATACTCGTGAAACTACCACCACAATGAAAATAGCTTCAAAAGGTTCTTCCTTCTACTCACAACACCAGGCAACTACTGCTCTGCTTCACTGGCATTATTTTACCTTTTCCAGAATACATAAATGAAACCACATAGAGTTACAGATTATTTTCCTCCAAAAAATGTGTTGAAGTCTTAACCTCTAAACCTGTAAATATGACCCTGTTAGAAAATAAGGATTTTTCTTTTGTTATGTTAATTACACAACAAAACGGGGTAGGGTGGGTCCTAAGCCTAATCACTTCTGAGTTCATAAGGAGCAGAATAGACACTGAGCTGAAGAGAACACACACAGGATGAAAGCACATGCCAATGAATGCCCGAGACTTCCTGGACTACCAACAGGGAAGAAACTCCCCCTACAGCCATGCCCCAAATTTGGATTTCTGGTCTCCTGAACTGTGAGACAGTAAAGTCCTATTCTTTTAAGCCACCCACATGCATTGTGTCACAGCAGCCCTAAATAGCTAAGACAGCTCTGGTAGCGTAGTGGTTACGAATCATGCTGCGAACCTTAAGGTCAGTAGTTCGAAACTACCAGGTGTTCCATGGGAGAAAGATGAGGCTTTCTGCTCCTGTAAAGATTTACAGTCTCAGAAACCCTGTACAGGGTCGCTATGGGTCAGAATCGACTCACCGATACTTAACAACAGCGGAACAGCTGGTAGTTTCAATTTATTAAAGTTTATTAAAAACTACAAAACTCTGTTCTTTTAAAAAAAAGTGACCCTGAAGAAAAATAAGTAACTCCTACCTCTGGCTGATAATCTCCATACTCGGCCTGGAGTGCTAAGGATGCTAGCAATACGGAAGTCTCATCATCACAGTGGATCCTCTCCTCCAGGAGATCCTTGCGCAGCTGGAGATAATACTGATGACAAGTCAGCGCATGTCTGAAAGAAGCAGCACACAAACCAGCTAGGAGCTGATCTTGAACCTCAGGTGATGTTCATTCGAGTCATGCAAATTTAATTTCCAGAATGACTATGATTAAGTACCAGGCTCATCAGAATCAAGTAATTTAACATTAGTAAGTATAAGACTCAAAGGATCATGGGCTGAGAAGACAGAATAGAAACACTGTGCACTCACTGGATTAGACTAGCATCATCCATAAAAAATTTAATTCGGAAAAACATAGTAAAATTCACAGCAGCTTTGCTTTTTTTCTTTGGTTCTTCTTTCCATCCTTCTGGGGCCACTTTGGTTAATTTTAAATCAGGATCAACGAAGAAATATTCATTTTCTAAACAGAATCAGAATAACATTCAGATGAAATTAAAAATTAAATAAGAAAAACCTGCTTTTTCTTCAGATTTCTTTCTTTGTTTTCCTTTAACAGACTTACACAAAATACTATCATAGAGGAACAAGAAGAGTTAAGAAGTATGTCAGGGGGAACCCTATACGGGGTTGCGATGAGTCAGATTCGACTCGACGGTACTCAAGAAACAACAATGACAACAATCAGTTAAGTTAGGACTAAGGTGCACCTGACCCAAGTCATATTTACGATTGCTTCATATACATCAGAAAGCTGGGCAATGAGAAGGAAGACCAAAGCAGAACTGATGCCTTTGAATGATGGTGTTGGTTAAGAGTATTAAATATACCATGTACTGCCAGAAGAAAACACAAATATGTCTTGGAAGAAGTACAGCCAGAAGGCTGAAGCTTCATGTCAATCACTCTGTACACATCCTGAAAAGGGACCGGGGGCTTGCAAACTGGTATCTTGCTTGGTAAAGCTGGGGATCGGTGAAAAAGAGAAAGACAGTGGATACAAACACAGCAGAATAAACATCTTTCTGGTATTCCGTGCTCTCAACCAAGATCTTTCTGACCACAGGAATGATATGCCTTGCTATGTTTCCTCTTCTGAATCTTACTTAACTTTCTCAAGTTTCCTGTCAATGTTGTAGGACATTATTGGACATTGTCAGGAATTGAATCAATATCACTGAGAAATAATGACATCTAGATCTATTGAATTGAAATATGCTACTGGACCATGAGCCACAAAGTTGGCAGTGCAAAATCACCAGCTGCTCCTTGGAACCTCTACACAGGGTTGCTATGAGTTGGAACTGACTCAATGGTACTCAACAACATCTACATAGTTTAAAATGTTGCCCTGGTGGTGCTATGGGCTAGGCATTTGACTGCTAACCACAAGATCGGTACTCAAACCCCCCAGCTGCTCAAAGAGAGAAGAGAAGGCTGTCTGATTCCATAAAGTTTATGGTCTTACAAACCCTACACAGGTTTTCTATGGTTTTTATAAGTGTGTAAAATGTACAGTGGATTTTCATTGGATGACACCAACAAAGTCATATCTTCTTCATATTCTTAATTTCAGTATCATGTGGAAATTATATTTTGAATATGTCGAGTTAAATAAAATTTATTATTATCATTTAAAAAAAAGAAGTGTATCAGGGAGTGCTGAGTCACTACATAAAGATGGGAGGCAACATAGCCCGGTCATTTAAGAGTGGGGATTCCAAAGACAGACCTGGATTCCATTCCTAAACACATCCTTTACTACTCATACGGCACTGAATAAATGATTTAACCTCTCCAGAAATTCATGTTCTTGCCTGGCAAACAGGATAATGCCAATTCCTGATTTATAGGATGATTATAAAAATCAAATCATACAATAAACATAAAACATTTGGTAAAACCTAGCACCTGGTAAACAATCAATACTGTTGTTGTTGTTAAGTGCCGTCGAGTCGGTTTTGACCCATAGTGACCCTGTACAGGGTTTCCGAGGGTGTAAATCTTTATGGGAGTAGAAAGCCTGATCTTTCTCCCGCGGACCAGCTGGTAGTTTCGAATCGCTGACCTTAAGGTTCGCAGCCTGATTCGTAACCACTACGCTACCAGAGCTCCTTACTAGCCATTCTTTTTTTGTTTTGGTTTTTATATTACTGAGGCATCCTGGTGAGGTACTATAGGATAAGAACTGGATTGCAAGGTTGGTTTGAACCACAAGGTTGGCAGTTCAAACCCACCAACTGCTCCTTAGAACCCTAAACTAGGATGCTATGAGTCAGCAGCAACTAGAAGGCACTTAACAAAAACAACCAGCTAAAATCTAGGAGGATTGTTATTTATTTTTTCAAATGTTATCATTTAACATTTCTTATTGATAATCTCCAAATAAAAGCACTATTTAATAAAATCTCATTTATCCAGATTGGTTAAGAAGTTACATGTACTAAGGGGTGCTGTAGGATAAGCACTGAACTACTAACAGCAAGGCAAGTAGTGCAAATCCACCAACCACTCCACAAGAGAAGGATGGGACCTTTCTGTCCCAGTAAAGATTTATAGCCTCAGAAACCCACATAGGATTGCTAAGAGTCAGAATTGACTGAATGGCAGTGAGTTTGGCTCATTAAATAAAACTCTTACTAAGTGACTATCTTTATGTAGATAGCATCATATGATTAAAAATTCAAATTAGTAAAGTGACAGAACATTACTGTGCACAGCTAAATATTTATTGGGTGATTCCACAAGTGAATTATTAATTTTTAAGGAATAAGAATTCAATAAACTATGTTGAAGGGGATGTAAGTTCTTTTATGATAAACATAATATGATCTTAAACTGCAAGGTCGGTGGTTCAACCTCACCAGCTGCTCCTCGGAAACTCTATACAGGGTCCCTATGGGTCAGAATCGACTCACCGATACTTAACAACAACAACAGTTTCAGGACTGTTTGGCAGGATTGCCATTTATGGTACTTGATTGTCTGTTTTCTGAGATAACTTCCTAGAGAAATAGAAATCTGAAATATGAAACAGTAGTTTAAAAGTCGGCACATAACCACCACCAAGGGCTTATTAAAGACAGATGAACTCCAAAGGATGTCTTATTGCTATGACTACTGTAATTAATACATACTCTTCTACAGGCACTGTGCTCTGAGAATACTGTGGTTGTAAACCTCCCAGAGGGTGGCGCTGTAGGACCAGCACTGTACTGCTAACAACAAGGTGGGCAGTTTAAACCCACCAGTCGCTCCTCGGAAACTCTATACAGGGTCACTAGGAGTCAGAATTAACTCAGTGGTACTTAAAAATGACATTTTAGAAATGTGTAAAATGACTTTTCAGTCAACTGACAACAGTATTTAATAATAAATATTGTGTGGTTCTAGAAGAGTAGACAAAATTGGTGTGGCAATTCAGCAACAGGGCCTTCCTGGATATTCTGAATCATATTAGCAGGAATCCTGTTGTGGTGCTGTAGGATAGGCACTGGATCATAAGGCCAGTATGAATCACAAGGTTGGTGGTTCCTTAGAAATCCTATGCAGGATGGCTATGATTCAGAACCAGCTTTATGGCATTTAACAACAATTTTTATAGTATAAATTCAGACATTTGAGAAAAATATAATGGACACTAAATGAGAGTAATTTCAAAATCAAAGGTTAAAAAAAAAAAAAAAATCATCATTGTTAGATACAGATGTGTGTTAAGTGCCCTTAAGTCAGTTCTGACTCATAGGGACTCTGTATAGGGATTCCAAGGAGTGGCTCTGGTGGTCTGAATCACTGACCTTGTGGTTAGGAATCCAGTGCTTATCATACAGCACCAGGACGTCATTTGCAAAAGTTGCCTAAAAGCTAGTTTAATTAAAAGGGCCATTAAAACAATGCACATGGCAGGAAATGGAAGGGCATTCCTAATCACTTTTACACTGTAATGCTGACTTGTTCAGGCATGAAAATAAGTAAAACAGAAGTCAACCAGTTGACAAGTTTCCATACTGTACCCTGAATTTAAAATGCCTTGGTACCTTTAAGAGTAGCTAAAGCAAACAGATGATGTTCCACTAAACCAATATGGGCCACAACCATATCGAATACATCTTTACATATAGTTTTGGTATCACAAGTCAGTTCCAGTCTTTGCCCATTCAGAAGCATTATGTTTACTTTTCTTCGGCTATCTTCATTCTTCCCTTTCTTGGTCTAAAATGGAAAGAAATGAATGGAATTTATGAAAATAAATATTACAAGAATTTTAACTGATGATTTAAAAATATCATTCATGAAATTTTCTAAGAGTGACACAAAATTGGTTTTATTACTTACAAGGATAGATCGTGGCAAATCCAAAGATACAAAGGGCTCAACTGTCATTTTCACAAACTCAGGGCCAAAGAAATTCTGCAAATCAAATCAGTAAAGGCAATAATTTTTATGAGTTTATTCTAGATCTTTTTCCAAAACATAATAAGATAATAATAATAAACTTCATGTAAAGTCACCAGTCTGAAACAAATGTACAAACATTCAACAAATAAGTAGTGTGAATTCTACAAAGAATAGGGAAGGATTGTGTCTTCCACTAAATTTGAGCTGATTTCAATTTCATTTTCTATCAGTGATGTGAACTATAATGCCTTATTTTATATTGTTTTACAGTTTTCTTACGAAGAGTGGTACTCTAAAGACAGGTTATCAAGCTCTTATAAAGACTTGATTTGATAACACTAACGTGTGGAGTGATTCTATGGAATCTCATTGTTTTAGAGAGTACTATTTAATTTCTTCTAAGACAGGTCATAGTTAGAGGGAAAATCTACTTTGTGACATATCCATTTGCAATAATGTTCTTAGAAGTATAATGGTACTTATTTTTTGGTTCAAAAAATGATAATTAGGTGTGGGACAAATAGTTAAGTGCTTGATAACTGACTGAAAAGGACAGCAGTTTGAACTCATGTAGAGGTGTCTCCCAAGACAGTCCTGATAATCTAATTCTGAAATGTCACAGCCTTGAAAACACTATGGGACAGATCTACTCTGCACACTCAGCTTCATCATGGGTTGGATCTAATCTGATGGCAACTCTCATACTTCAGATATAGTGTCAAGAGGGAGAAGGATATCATGTTTCATAAGGTGGAGAGACAGAGAAAAAGAAGAACCCCAACGAGGTGGATTGGCAAAGTGGTAGCATCAATGGGCTCAACCATGACAACAATTGTGAGGTTGGCCCAGGACCGGGTAGTGTTTCGTTCTGTTGTACATAAGATCCCTATGCATCGGTACCGACTTGATGTCACCTAACAACAACTGACAACAAGGACAGTATTGGTATCACAGTTTCTAACACACATCAGAAAATAATAAGACAGACATAGGCAATAGGGTTTGCACTCCTCAAACTATTCTTTCCCTTTACCTAGTGCATAATTACAAGTTCTATAGGGAGGTTGGAGTTCTAGTGTAGTTCTAGATCTAGTGGGTTAATGTGCCAGACGGCAAAGTCGTTTGAACTTTGGTGGTTCAAAGATCGGTGGTTCAAGCTCACCAGCTGCTCCTCGGAAATCCTCATAGAGGTCACTATGAGTCGGAACTGACTCTACAGCACTTAACAGCAACAACAATAGGGAGGTTAAGACATTCTGGTAGCACAGTGCTTATGAGTCAGGTTACTAATCGCATG